CACAAATGTAAAATGAAGGTTTGCGTGCGCTTCTGTCACGTTTGCATCAGCACTTTAAGGAAAAGCGGCTTCGTGAGTGAGATGAGCTGGGAAGCTGAAATTTTCCGGAGATATGACGATGCATGATAGAAGCATTTGAAATTAACCTTTTACAAAAGTCCAGTTCTCGCAAATGAGCAGGTGACACTTCCAGCAGTGTGCAAGATTTGGATTTCTGTGACATTTTCCATGATTTTGCAAATTTGCAATATCAGTGATAGCATAGTGCTAGCGACATTTCTTTTCACTGCAGCAAAAACAGTGCTTAGAAGAGGTAACTGATGCTCTTCGTGAAGTCTCTTTCGTGCATCAGCATCTTCCGGTCTGTCAGCTTCTGGTCTCTTTCAACTTTTTTCAGAACAAATCGAAACTCAAAACAGTAACACAGAAGCACATCCACCAAGTGATCTCGCTAGAGTACGAGGAGTGCAAAAACGCATGATCACACCCGCATGATCATCAGTAACAATTCCCGAGTTGGCACGAGACCAACTGCGGGTTCCGTGCGACTGTTTGAGCGATGCAAGCATGTGTGATAGCTGAATTAGAAATCTTTAGCTAGTACATGCACAGAGGATTTCCCTGCAAAGTTTCAGCCTCCCATTCTGTCTGGTTCCCGAAATTGACTAGCGTCAAAAAATCTGCATATTTTTCGGGACGAGGGAGGTCCGTAAGTGACTTCTAGGCAAGCATGAACGATGATTTTAAACAGGAAGGTGAAAGATGGGGTGAGAATATGCCTCCTAAATTTCAGCCTCTCAGCTTTCCGTGTTGCTGAGTTGAAAGTAGATGACAAAGCTCATTGGCTTCCGAACACACACATACAACGCGGACAACCTCTCGACAATGTGTGTTTTTGCATCTGCATAATATGCATAAAATAGCAGCACGCACCAGGTTTTACGTAGTACGGTCAGCCGTCACTGGGGCCAGAAGTTTTCATTGTTTTACACTTTGTGTGTAAGAAATAGCTGATATGCTTTTTGATTCCTAAGCTGCGAAATTTCCCACTAAAAATTTCACTTGTCGCTATGAGGAACGCAGGCATACCGTGACAGCTAAACTGAAACTTTGGATTATACTGGATGGGGAATATCTTTCCAAAATTTCAACTCCCTCGTTTTTCGGCTCCCGACTTCGAGGTGTTGCGGAGGAAGCTTCACGTGACTGTGCGTGCACCGAGTTTGTGAGGTCCATGCATAGGCAAAAAGTATCCTCCTGAAATCTCAGCTTCCTAGCTCTTCATCTTCCCGAATTGACGAACTTTCTCGCCAACAATTTTACAGGCCGTACGTGACACCTAAGCATACGTGAGAGGTGAATTTGAATTTGCGAGATCACATGTGAGCAGAAGAAATTCCTCTAAAATTAAAAAAAAACAGCTTTTGTGGTTCCCGAGATAACAGTTTTCCCCGTCAGCTTTTGTGGGGCGTATGTGAAACTCACAAATGTATGAAGGTTGAATCTGAATACGCGCGATTGCACGTTGGCAGGGGACATTCCAATGAAATTTAGCTTTCTAGCTTTGTCAGTTCCAGAGTTGAAAGTGTGGGAAAAACCGTACTCACACACACACACACACTCACACACACACACACATACACAAACATACACACAAACACACACACATACACAAACACGCAAACATACACACAAAAATACAAACATACACACACGCGCACAGACAGGGGCATGACAATATGCGTTTTGTGCAATGCTTCATTCAGTACAGGACGCATAAACGCACAAAAAGGAAAACAAACCATCTGAGGAGGCAAATTCATAAGGTATCGCTCGATTATTGGGCCATCGGTATACGCCGCCCGTAATCACTTTACGCTTTTGCCTCCGATGCTTACCCATACGTCGTTCCTTCTCCGCAAGAACTATTCTGGAAATCGTTTGCTTATGTGACCAGCGTGGGTTTGGCGCCTGTTAGTGATGTTACTGGAATGCTCTGAAAGGGTCGGATGTAGCTTTGCCAGGGTCCTTCGGTTCTGAACCGGAGCTACTAATAATTCATCGCCTGGTCGATCAGGTTACCTGACTAATCAGATGTCAGCAGCTTCGAGTAACATGTCCTGCCCAACGGATCTGCTTCATCGCATGGTCACAGCGCATCATCGTATGTGTCGAATATAAATATGATTATTATTACTACTAATATTTTTTATCATTGCAATATTTGTGATAATTATCAATAGTAATAGTGATTATTACTTGTGCTTTTTATTATTATCATTATTATTACCATTGTTATTATTATTGTTATTATTATTGTTATTCTTATTACTATTATTATTACTATTATTATTATTGTTGTTGTTGTTATTATTGTTGTTGCTGCTGTTATTATTATTGTTATTATTATTGTTACTATTATTCTTGTTACTATTATTATCAATAATACTGCTATTATCACTGCTACTCTTATTGTTCGTATATACGAGTATAAATACATATATATATGTATATATTTATGTATACATGTATGAATATGTGTACGGGGAACATATGCGCAGGATGAGCGGAGGAGAGTGCTGCCGAAGGATGAAGGTCTCAGAGCATTCGGCTACAATCTGCTCCCACATTGTGGCTTTTCGAAGGCCAAAAGCTGGCTTCATCGAAAACTTTCGTGCGGCATCGGATGA